AGTATGTTGGCAGAGCTACTAGATTCAAAATGAAATTATTTCCGTTTACTTTTCTTTTTATTAAAGCTGCGGTAAGTAGGAGGAAATCTGGAAAGGGGAAAAAATAAACCCTCCCACGAGCACGGGTATGTAAACACGTTTTATACGTGCGAGCAACCCAGATTTAGTAACATCGCTTGATGCAGTAACCAGTTCGGATTTTCTGCCACTTTCCAACATTTGAGGAAAAGCTCTGTCTCTAAAAAAGACCTGTCATCGTCCAAAGTGATAAGCTAGATTTTCTAAAGCCGACAAATAGAGTCAAGAGGAGCCACAAGAAGTCTAGTTTCCACTCAGACCACTTGAATTGCAATATGCTGAAACATTGTTATCGACTAACTCTTCCCAAAAAATTGATGCTTTAACTTTGTCTCATTGGATTTGTAATTTTTTTTTTGTTTTTTTTGTTTGGGTTTTTACTATAATGCTTGCCCAAATTGCAAAGTTGTTTTACGGCCTCTAAGGAAAGACCATAGAGCTAAAAGAGATTCACACAGGGAACAAACATCAAATCTAACCCGTAAGCTGGAATATATTAGGCTTTCATATAATATAATTGACTCAGTTTGTTTTGGATGCCTCCGTACTGTATGCGATGATTGGATTGATCCATTGAGGCCCTGTGGCAAAACAGCAGCTGATTAAAATTTGGAAATTAAAAAGGCAGAAATGTGTATAGCAATGATACACTAGAGCTTAAGAGTCTCAATAGATAAACCAGTCATGCTACATTGAAAATATGACGCCGTTTGAAATATATATAGTGTTTTTATTGGCCTGCATCCGCCAAGAGTGTTGGGATTTACTTTGTAACTGTCTGTGCCTGTAGGGTTCAAGCTGAAGTTGAGGACGTGTCTTTGAACTGCCAGTGTCTCACCCGGTGTTGGTACAGACATACACAAGGTTAGTCATCTATTATGAATGACCAGCCACAGCCAGTGGAGGACACCGTGGTCACCTTGCTGGATGTGAATGCACGGGGAGAAGCTTTGAACCCTGCATGAGGAAACCTCCAACTTTAGAACACTGCACTTTAAAAATACCCCGGCTAAACCACTTAAATTTCATCAAATCAATTCATTTAAATCTTACTTTAAAAAAATAAATAAAATTAAGAAACTCTAATGTTAGGGTAAGATTCCAGATTGGCTGGAGTGAGAGATGAAGAAAAGAGAAAAAAAAAAAAAAGCTTTTCTGGCGACAGATCTCAAGTTTGGTGCACTCCATTGAACCTGATTCCCCTTTAGGATCAGGCCCATAATAAGTTTGGCTTGTCTTCAAGTCTAAACATGCTGGAGTCCCAACTCATCCATTAGGTGTAAACAGTCTCGTGGCGGGCATGGTGGCCAGGCAATGAACTGTAGCATATTAGATGTTCCTGACTGGGCTGACCTGGCTTGGTTGTGGAGTCCTGGGACCAGTTAAAGCCCATATCGTGTGCTTGTTAAAAAAAATATGACTGCAGCTCTGTAAAACAACCCCTGAGATGGATATTAAGGAAAGAAATGAAAATCCTTTAAACGCTGGACTGGTGACATTCAGCACACTGGTAATAGTATATCGATATGTATGTCTAGAGCTGTAACAAATAGTAATTTAAATGAATCAACTGCAAAATAATCAACAATTAGCTCAATAACTAATTTTTCAATAACTTTTCGAGCAAAAATGTTAAAAGGTTTTTTTTTAGCTTCTAGCTTTGGATGTTTTTTCTCTGTTGTACATCATTGTCTAATTAACACATTTGGGTTATGAACTTCTGGACAGACGAAACAGGACATTTGAATATGTCATCTTTGTCTCTGTAACAGTAATTATGCACCTTTTTTTTAAATTTTTTCAAACAATTGAGACCATTGACAGAATAATTAGGACATAAAAAAACAATGCTTATTTGTTGTCCTATTAGTATGTACAGCACAGCTTGTTGTATGTTTGGCCATTATCCCTATTGAGAACTACACTCAAGTTCATTGCTGATATCTGGCAGTGAGAGTCCTGCTGTCCAATCAAAACCCAAAAACTCCCAACAAAGTATTCATTGTCAGTACTAGTAGCCATTTTTTTTTTTTTGCAAAAACCTTTGGAGTGTAGACAATAGGTCCCAGTAGCATTTGAATGGCTAACTTAGAGTCCTGTGTCAGGTTTGGGTGTCAAATTTGAGTTTGGAGGGCCTTTAAGATCACATTTTTGTCTTGATTGATCAGATTTAAAAAATCAATATATTACAGAGCTTAGATGCAGCAAAAAAAACAGAGCAACTCCTTGGTTCCACTTGGATGTATTATACTTGCCATATCGGCACATTTGCATTGTGTTTCTGTCCAATGACTTATTCCTGACATTATGAAAATAAATGTTTAGATCATCTGGCCAGACGGTGGTTTGTTTACAACCTTGCCTAAAGGGAGACCCAATTATGGGCTGTCTGAGACAAAAGTCGGCAGTTAGTAAGAGAAATGTTGTGTCCAAATCCACACTGCCAGATATGTACAAGGAAGAGTGAACAAACCATTTCAACAGACTAGTGTGACTGCAACCACAACCCTCGCCTACCCTGGAAACCAACAAATCATAGCATGACATGAAATGACTCAAAGTACATCGGCTACCATAACATTTCATAAGCGCAAGTTTGGATAAAGGTGAGGAACAAAAATGGTAAGCACTCAAAGCACTTTCTCATTCACTCTGTGGCTGAACCGCCATTCAAAGTGCTTGAATGCCTTTTGTAGCAACTTCAGCAGTTTGCCCAAGGATACTTGAGGGGCCAGGGATGGAACCACCAACCCTAAGATAAGGCTCGACCTGCTTTATCACTTGAGCCACAGCCACACTACTCACATTAGAAAAAAAAAAAAAGCAAGTGCAGCACAGATGGATGACGATATCTGATGAAGTGCCTCTGCTCTCATATGGATTTTTTCTGTTCACATCGTTGAGCAGCAATTAATTGTGCATGTATGCCAAACTTTGACACACATCTAGAACTGATATTGTACCGTCTGGCACAGATTTGTGGTCAGAATATACTTAGACCTTTTTCACAAAGTCAGATACATGGTCAACTTCAGACACGTTGTCCCAGTGAGGCCAGATTTCAGCATTTCATAAGGGAAACACGAATATGGCTGATAGAAATTATGAGTAAATAACACCAAAGTTTCCTTGCATCTGTCTAAGAAATTCCCAAGAACAAATCCATTTCAGACGTTCACAGTCTTGCTACTGTATCTTCTTCCTGTGCTGGCTGCTACTGTTCTGCAGTCCCCTAGGACACGCAAGGGAAAGCGGTCCAGTTACAGGTGTGTGCTCAAGCTAAAAAGCCCATAAAGCAGCCTTCGCAGGACCTTTTTCTGTACCCACAAGGAGCTGAACAAGTGACACGGCTTTGGATTTATAGGTCGGGGCCTCCAGCCGGGTGGCAAGCTGCAGCGGGGCCTGGGCAGCGTAGTGGCAACACCGCCTCCATCTGTTGTCACGGTCTGCTCATATCTGCATGCTAATCCTTCTCTACCCACACCTTGACGAAAACACCCCGGTGGCAGCGCTTTCAGGATGAGGAATTAGTAGAGCAGGGAGCACAAAGACACGGACCTGAGGTTGATGAGATGTGAAATGCAGATCGAGCAGGGAGTAAAAAATGTGAGATTAGTGGAAAATGCAAGCGGGGAAGAAGCGGGACTTGCACGCTGGCTGTCTCGTTTCCACATGAAAATGTTGTCGCCGCTCGAGCCTGCGCGCCCGCTCGACCGACTTGACGTTTTCTAACACATGCAAAACATGCAGAGGATAGTCAAGGTCAGTTATTTGTCATTACATGGAGGGCTGAAGGTCGTTGACATTCAGCGTGTGTCGAAGCGCGGCTCGCTGCCTCCATTCGGCAGATGTAGCTGCTGGCGAAAGTCTTCCCAAGCTGACTAATCATTTGTGTATGCAGCCATAATATGCTTTCAATGTCTGAAAATACATATCATCCATCAAAGCGCGATTGTAATGTCTTTGGGCTGGAAAAGGGCACTGGGAGTAGGTGTGGCATATCTAAGATCTAATAAATATACATTTCCTCGGGCAAGAGGAGGAAGCTGCGAGATCTAAGGATTCATTTCCTACTCTGCCGACATAGCAGATAAGGTCTGATGCAGTGTAGGCATGCAAATATCCACACTCTGCAACTAAAACGTACAACTGTATGAATGTACGTCCTGCTGCTGGAGTTTGTAGAATGCATCTCTCAAATAAAAGGGTAGAAGTGTGTGTCTATTTTTACATTTTTATCTCCACAAAAACCCGTCCACCCCGACTCCCTCCTCGTCTTTACAGTTGTAATGCAGCCGTAGTCTGTGTCTAATGTCTGTGCCCTGTGGCAGCAGAGCAGCAGCCGAGAGTGAGTGCCATGCACTCAATATGTGTTCAATATAATTATATCTGGCAGCCGAGCGACAGCGGCGGAGATATTTTTAAAAAAGTTAAGAATGAGATATCATGTATATTGGGACAAATAAGAGTTGCTATAACACAGACATGCACTTTTTTGCCTCGACTCAACTATTGTGCCAGGACATATATCTGGAGATTTATCTGCTCCCTAAACCCTGTACTCAGGAAAAAATAAAAATCTGTGCAGTCAGCTGTTTTATATGAAATCCAAAGGAAAAACAAAAACAAGACATTATCTCATCTCCAAGATGATATTTCTGAGTTGTTTACCCTGAAGCTGAAACATTCTCAAACACACTAAATGAAATTTTACATATTTGAATCCATATACATCTTAATGAAACAAGAAAAATAAAACTGTTTCTTCCGTTTACCATTTTCATCCTGCAAATGAAAGATTCTGACCAATTAAAAAGTTGTTTTGACTGTGCATCAAAGAAAGGAAACTGCACTATTAGACATAAAAGTTTCCATTTTTAGCTTCCTTTGTGAACACGCGGTCCCAGAACAGAAAGTTTTACCATCACAGAGATGTGCAGGATGCGGAGCTCCTCTTTCGTGGAATCGTTGGCTGGGTCTTCGGTCGGTTCTGGGAGGTTCAGGCTGCCGTCCTGGTGGTGGATGTGGAAGAGCAGAGTGCCGTTCTCCAGCCACTGCTGCCGCCAGCGTACCAGAGGGATGTCCTCCGAGTTCCCGGAGATCTCTGCCAAAACACAAAAGACAAACAAACGGGACTAAATGAGAAGCCTTCTGCCGTTGCGGCACAGAATTCTTCGCAAACATTGCCAATTTCTTGGAATGGATCCACTAAAATCTCAGCAATTTACCAGAAAAGAGAGACGTCTTATGTTGAGTTGAGGTTCAGTAAATAGGTTGCTAAACATGACACGCTCTTGGGAGCTCAGCGGTGAAAGGACAGGTTTCACTTCCAAAAATGGGTTTTACTGACACCAAACACGTTAAAATTAAAAATAAAAGACAACAATTGATTATACAACTGGGCCCTCAAAGGGGATCAAAAAACGAAAACTAAGGCAAACGAAGCCAAACAAAACCCCCAAAATTCAAAACAGCAGGTCAGACGTAGGGCTGATACGAATATCAATTTCTGTTCTCCGGATATTCGGCCCCAATTAATGACAACTATCCCGAATATTTGGGGGTGCTGCACAGCGGTGGCGGGTGGGTATTCGCTCCGACGGGGGCGGGTGCCGAGCAGTCAGTCCAACGGGGCAGCAGTGAGCGGGCGTTTGCGCCATCAGCGGTCACCGTACTGGATCAGTTGATATCCTGATTCCAGCACAGCGAACGAATAGTCGGTCTAGTCAGAAGTTTCCCTTTGTTGATGTTGCAGTCAGCATTTAGCCCCAAAGAGGCACTGTCATGGCTCTAGACGACCGCGTCCAGTTTGTAGACTGAACAGGTTTAATCGGCATTGCTACCAAGACAACTCTCATCTGGGAGTGCTGTTGCCATGGAAGGGTGTTCTTGGTCTGTCACAATGCTTGAAGGGTGGTACATGTCAAAGTAACACCCACATGAGTGCCAGGACCCAAGGTTCCCAAGCAGGGAATGAGATGATCAATGTTAAATCAATGGTCTACACTTCACCTGCCAGGGGTTTTAACGCTGATCAAAAAACTCCTCTGCACCTTAAGGGTTTTCATCATCCCGTCCTATACCTAAAACCACACCCTCAGGTGGCAACATTTCCATCCACGGTAGGCTGCACAAGAAAAACACAAATATAGATTCAACTCGAGCCCTAAAGATGAGCAAACAGTGATTTTATGGAAGCGGCAGAGCATGAGAGACACTGTGCTTCGTGTCATACTTGAGCTCCCTCGATAATACATTCCACTCCTCGCTGTTTGAAATATTAGTGATCTGCGCCAAAACATACAGAGAGTGCAGGAATGGAAAACATTAGAAATGCATGACGGAGCTTTATGGGTGATTTTCTGTTACGTAAGTGTGAAGAGCGGCAAAGATGCACCGGGCTCGTGTGATATGAGGAGTACTGGAAGACGTGAGTCGACACAGATCACTGAAAGTGCAAACGGGACTCCGAATTTAATCCTATCTTCTACCACGCTGATTGTGGAGTTTGCTGCTGGAGTTGAATATAGTGCACTGTGTGTTCTTGGCGAGATGTTGTGGTTACTTTTGAGGTACAAAAACGTTATGCAATGACTTGACATGAAGGTCTGCACGTATACAGTGTGCACATTGAAAAATAGTGATCAAATAAGGGATATGTAACTTTCCAACTTCGATGTCTCCATGATTTTTGACTTGCAAATTTACGGAACTCGCTTCGATGTGAAGGATCAACTGTTTGCTCTCGAGCTGTGCTGCCTGAGATTAGCAGTATTAACTTGCACAATATTTTCTTAGTCCCTAAATCTAATTGACAAAACAGGCAACTGCAAGTATTCCTTCTTCTATTTTCTTTCATTCATTCAGCGACTAAGTTAAGCCTATTTGACACGGAACAAGGATCATTTGCTTTATACTGATTGACTGTGGGAGCTTATTTAAACAGCTACATGGTCTGTCTCTCGGAAATATCCTGTTTAGCGTCCATCTAACTTCATGCATGGACTCTTCTTTTTAAAGTGAAAGCGTCAACGGCGATCTCAGATGGCTGGGATTTTTCTACGACATTAAACTTTATTGTATGTTTATATGATTCAAAGTATACCACATACACACTCAGACGTTCTCCCACCAGCCTTCCTGTCTGGACACTGGGAATATGCGCCCATGTGTTTCACCTCTTCTTCCCTTGTGCCAGATCACAGAGCACTACATTTATCGGAATAATCATTTCTTCCTCCTACATTGTGAGTAGTGGACAGCGTTGTGTTTTCTCTCTCTGATTTAATGCACTAAAATTAGACCGTCTAGGTTCAGGCTCATTCTGAAGCATCACGTTCAAAGTGATAGTCAGCTGTGAACATGAAATTTATGGTCTTTTTTTTCTCCCTTTCTTCTAATCAACTAGAAAAAGGAAAAAAAAAAATGCGGCTTCACAGTTCTGCCAGATTGTAGGAAAAAGAGACAAGACGATACGGTTTTAGATCAGAATTCTACTGCGGATATTGGTAAAAAATGCATCGTCTGACAGTTAAAAATACACCTGTTTTAAATCATGAACAGTTCAGGGCAATTATTTTAATATTTAATGTTTCTTTCCAGTGTATTTGCATTCCGTGAACACTGGTTTATAGTTTCGGTTATCGCTGGCTGAGGCTGCTCTCCTGTTTATAATTCCAAAGACGAATGTTCTCTTTAAGGCATCTTTAATGTCGCCATTTAAAATATGATACACAGCGTGCATCCTTATACTGCTTATGGATTACTTTTGGAAACCACGGCCACTGAAACAGACTATTACACTAATTGCTAGCATAACCCAGTGCGGTGCATAAATACATTATCCAAATATATTATGCTAGCTTCGCTGGTGTACAAGCTATGAAATAATTTAAAGCTCGTTTTACATAGATGTTACAGTGAACTTAACAGAGCAGCACAATGCCGAGCAGAGAGGAGTGGTGGGGAAGGAAGGAAGGGAGGGAGGGGGTGCACTGAAGGGACACAGTCCATTAGAGAATAGTCTATAATTGATCAAAGTCCATACTATGTGCTGATTTATTCGTGTGGCAGAGCAGCGATGGTTGCGAGGTGGGGGGAGAAAAGAAAAAAAAAAAAAATCACGGTCCGTAAATAATAATGAGGATTAGGCCTGATCAAAAGAAAAAGCCCCGAACGGAGTGACTGAAGCAGCAAGTTGATGCTCTTGAAAATGGAAGATGAGAAGTAGGATGGGAAACAACAAGGAGCGTGAATCCAGGGGAGAAGCTACAGAGCAGGTACAAGATGAAAAAGCTCAAGAAACCCAGCTCTGGTAGCACAAAACCTTCTGATCTACATATAAACACAGCCTAACTCGATGCCACACAAGACCATTACGCTGATTACTGCCTGAGACGTAGCTGCGAGCCCTTTTCCTGCTGATCACAGGAGTTTACACAGTGTGCTTAACTTCAGGAATTACGCAGCCTCTGCACCTGCACATTGTGGCTCGTGGCGCTTTGAAATCTTCTCGTCTGTTTGGTCTGCTTCATCTCTACATGTAACATACTGACACAAATCATTGAGGATTAAAGTTCAAACACCTGTGGAGCCTGACTTGGATAACGGGCAAAGATCAATTTTACATATTAACACCAATGAACTAGTCATTAGGAGTGCTAGCAGCAAAGAAAAACTATTGTAGAATTTCTTCTGTGGCTCTGGAGCACTTTTTTTTCAAGTCCGAGAAAGAAAAAAAGAACGACCCTGATGAGGTCGTCAAGGTTATCTCTGCCTAGCCTTTGAGATAACATAATTAACATTAAGATTACGAACTGGGAGCACGGCATGAGTGTTAACCGGGCAGAGGAATTCTATCACAATAAAAACTTCATTGCATTGTGGGAATTAAAGGACCAGCGTTCTTGGAGCTTGTCAGGATATCGATTTTGGGCACATTTTCTTAATTTGTGTCTGGGAAGTTCCCCTTGTGTAATGAATGCTTTTAGTATTTTAATATTTAGTTCCAGAGATACCATCTACAAAAACAGAAAAGAAAAAAAAAAAAACATTATACATAAATTCAAGGTCAATTAAAAAAAAGAAAATCTATCATAGAATTCACATAAAGAACACTGAATGATAATTAATAATACATTTTTCTTAAAAACGCCTTTCACTGAACTCAAGGTCACCGAATACTGAGTTAAAACAAGATAAAACACCACACAAGAGGTGAGAACAGAAACCTAAAACCAAGTAAAAGCACAGTCTCATTGGCACTGGTCGGTGAGCTGAAGGAGGTGGGTTTTGAGTCCTTTTTTCAAATTCGGGGAGAGAGTCCAGGTTCCGCAAGTGAGGTGGTGGGGTGTTCCAGAGCCGAGGCTAAATGCCCTGCTCCCCTTGGTGGTGAGGCGGGAAGGACGGACTGTTAGGTAAAAGGAGGCGGCAGATCTGAGGAGGACGGGATGGGGTGACGATGTGGATGAGGTCGGACAAGTATGGGGGGCAAGGTTGTGGATGGCCTTGAAGGTATACATAAGGATTCTGAAGTTGATGTGGAGGTGGACTGGGAGCCAGTGGAGCTGCTGAAGAACAGGAGTGATGTGACTGATGGAGGGGGTTTGGTGATTATAAGTACGTTGCTGACTGTCGGCCAAACAGAAATGAAGACGAGTGCTTTACTTATTAATCCAAAAGGTTTAGCCTGGTTCTAGGGATGCCTGTGTTGAGACTGAATCTCTGCAGCTATTGGATGGACTGAAGTAAACATTAGTTGATGACGTTTGTGGTTCCTACAGGATGCTGCTGTAGATTCGGTGCTCCCCTGACTTTTCCTCTAGGATTGTGATTTTGAGTGAAGTATGTAATGGATCGCAACAAAATTAGGTACATTACTCAGTAACACCAGAGGATGAACCCTATTGACTTTGGTGACCCTCTGGCTTGTCGTCTGTCACGACTACAAGGTTGACCTTATTGGTTAGAAGTGAAATGTCTCGACATTAATAGGAGGCCTCACCATATAATTTGATACGAACATTAATGGTCTCCTTATGATGAAATGAATAATGCATGTGTTCGCCTGATATTCATCTGGCATCACCATTAACCTGCTGAACC